GTGGTGCGAAACAATCCGATCATGGTTAAAATGGAACTATTTCGCAAATGTGGCGATCAAGTGGGCGTTCGAGTTCTGCAGGACACACCAAAAGGCACCTTCTTGTGCAATGCAGCTGGCGACCTTGCGATGATTCCATTGAATGAGGTATTCATGAACACTCTGAAAATGTTCTTGTTGCAAGGAGTATGGTTCTTTTAAGGCTGTCCATTGCAATATAAAATAATAGATAAGATTTGAGATTACAGCACAACTTAGAATTCTGTTCTCAGAGGTAAATATATTGCTGGACAAATTAGGCCAACGGTAGTTTTTTGGTCAATCCTTCACACTTATTTGAGCGATGGACAAATTTGCGCCGTCACGGGAAACCCGTACTTAATGCCAAATTTGTATAACAATTATTTTGCTTAGCATCGTCCCAATGAACTGAGAAGTTTATTCCCCTTATCTAGGAGAGTCCGGTACCGAGAGGGCCAACTTCGCTGGATGGCCCACTTTGTCGCGTCAATTTCTCGGCCCGCGGAAACATCTCCAAATATTTTCAGGTGAAGAAATCGTTCTCTTTTTCAAAATCATGGCAAATTTGTGATCGAGTACAAATTAGAATATAGAAGATAAATTGAGTTTAAATTAATGAATCGCGAACCGATGCTTAAATTTGTGTTGCAGATAACGACGAACAGCGCAAGCGTTAATGTTCTCGCGCAGACCGTTGTCACGGAAATTTCGGACATGTCCATTCGTGGAAGGATCCCCATCAAAGCATTTTTCACGTCTGAATACATTAATGCCGGCGAAGAAATTTTTCGCGCTACTGAATGAGATTAAAATATTAATACTCTGTATGTCGATCGAAAAATACGGGAGACTCATTTTCAATCATCCAATTCCATTTCATTCTCGATTCGTTCAGCGAAATATAAATACACAAGGTTTTTGCCACAAATCATGTTTCAGCGGTTGTCCGGGCTTTTTAACTATCCGGGTATAAAAAATTGCGAGAGCCAACGTCATTTTCGTCGCATGGAACTGGCAGCAATCGGGACAGTTTGTATGCAACCTCAGCATCCAATCCGTCCAAATAAAACGGACGACCCTTTTGATTGAAAAGAAATCAGAAAAAATAATCTAAACGGAAATAAATATATTTTTACCTCATTCGCCCGAAATTGCTTGGACTCGGCCCCTCCTCCACAATCCGTGGATGCCCTCTTGATCGATTGCTGGGATGTGCCACTGGAATCAGCTTCTTCATTCTTCATGTCTCGCACAGGACAAGAACAGACGCGAACTCGCAGTGTCGACTTCCCGAGAATCACTCCGCTGAAAGTATGGAAAACAAATTCAGAAACACAAATCTTAAACTTAGGAATAAAAAATCTCAAAACATCAACCCGCTTAGGCGACTTGAAACTGAAGATCCCAAGAGTAAATGTGGAAAAGGCTCAGAGCAAGTTTTCCTCCGAACAATAATCCCCATGCCATCGTTATCGTTTGCAGTCCATCATTTAAATCGCTGGTGATCAAAGAAGTTTCTCACGTTTGGAGAATTACGTACATTACGCTCAAAATTATTCAACTTAGTTTCTGGTACACGAAACGACCATCATCCAGTGCTTTTTTTTTT